CAGAACAAAGCCAAATTAAGTTTGCAAAGGTTTTACAAGGTGCACTAACGATTCCAAGCTTTTAAAACATTTTTGAACATTTTAAGACACTTTAAAAATAGTGAACACGGACATCGTTAAGCGAAACAGGAGGACCTAAACTGTCATCGCTAAGCGAAGCAAGGTCCCAAACATCCCTATGTGAATTTCGCCCATAGGAAACATCGTTAAACGGAGTGCAAGATCGCTCCAAAAACCTCATCGCTAAGCGAATACATCGTTAAACGAGGCAATTGCTAAGCGAGGCACCACTGTATAACACTAAGAATCTTTCTGTGCCAAGCATGGTAGCTGGAGGACACCGGACGTATTGTCCAAAAAAGTAACATTTCTATGCATTGGCACCTTTTTAACATATTTGTGAACAGCTGGAGAATAATTTAAAGGTACAATGATATGCACAACTAACATGGAATAAATTCATTAAACTCACACTCAATAATCATACCTAGTGTGTTAATGTGCAAGCTGCTGATTGTGCCTAGAGTCTTATGGTTTGCTGGTACCATGCAATTAAGAAGTTAATGCAAGCTTCTATGTTAAAATTCAATTTACTTTTTTACCTTCTTGACAGTTTTTATTGTACATCGCATCAAAGTATGATTTTTCCATCTCAACAGGTCCTGACCAGTGCAAAGTGACAGCAAAGCAACTTCCATTCATGGAAGCTAACCCTCAGTCCAACAACATTAATCTATCCTGTGAATTCTCCATTCAAAGTTGCCCCACATCTGCTAGACATATTCTGTGGTTTCGGTATCTGGCACATACGCACGAAGAGCTATGCAAGTCTACATGCAAAAACAGTGTCAAATTCAAAGCACACCAACCATCTACACACCAGGCTGTGCTTCAGATCGACCAGCTCAGTGTGGAAGACAGTGCCATTTATTATTGTGGGATAGCAATTCGAGGCTCCAACTCAACCACCTCAAAGACAACTGGCACTGGAACCCTGCTTGTGGTTAGAGGTTGGTTTATTTTCAAAATATTTAGATTTTATTGATTTGCTTGTTTAAGACAGAAATCAAATATTGCTCCCTTATACAATCACATAACATTCTATAGGCTGTGTGCTTTTAACAGCAACGGAAGAAGGGGGAAGCCCAACCATTTTGCTTAAATACTTCCATTTCTTAGTCACTCTGATAAGTGTGTATGTGAGAGAGTGTGTGTATTAGTGATTAACTACATCCCTCAAGTAGATCTGGGAAAAATATTGAGTTTTGTTCAGTTATAATTATCTATTTGTATACTATATACACACACGTCATAGGCACCGTAGGAAGGGCTATACCCCCATGGTACAGCACAAGCTCTGCATGAAGGAGGCGTCAACCTGGTCATCTCCAATGCAGTGGGTGACAGGAAACTGAGAAGCCCAAGACTCTGGAAGAACTGCTAACAGCTGGAACAGACCAGGTGTTGGGAGAACCTTTGTCCCTCCAGATGTTTGGGCTCACAACGCCAATCAATCCCACCCAGAATGGCCAATTGTCAGACATAGTGAGAGGTACAGTTTGAAACATTTAGAGGCCAAATGTCCCCTCCTGCTGTTCCTTTGGACTACAACTCCCAGAATTCTCCCAGCCAACTTGGATAATATTTTTTAAAGTTCTACAAAATACTAGGATGGCTGAATTAACAGTCCAACTCTGTATAACGGAGCTTTGCATGCTCAAATCAATGAGGAATATAGAAGATTTGTTAACAAAATCCCATTCAGTGACTGATTTGGATGTAACAGCCATGACACAATAAGCCTTGGAAAGCTGGGAGTAATGACAGAGCTTGGGCCTTCCCTCTCTTCATTGTAACAGATCTGTTATTTTGGTCTTAATCAAAATAAATCACAGTCTCCCAACACAGCATGAAAAGCCAGGATTCAATATTGGGTGATTAATTAACAGTAAATGTAACATGGCAGCGGTCATCCATATGTTAATCACACTTCATCTTGACTACTGCTATGTGCTGCATGTGGGGCTACGCTTGAAGGAGGTCTGGAATCTTCATTTGGTGCAATATGCAGAAACTAAGCTATCAAATGGTGCATGGTATCAAGATCATACCATTTTGATAATGAAAGATCTGTGCTGGGTGCCAGCTGCTTACCAAGATCCAATTAAAGGTGCAAGTTTTCACCATCAAAGCCCTAAAAGGCCTATCAAAGAAATCACCTTCTTATGAACTATCCAGATGTTGAAATCCTCTTGAGAATGCCACTATCTGCAGATAATGGCATGTTAAGAGAAGTATTTTTGGGGGGTGGGTCCCAGATGTTAGAATACACTATGCTCCAAACTGCAAACAGTTCCCACTGCTTTTAGGAATGGTGTGAAGATTCATCTTTTAACTGACTTATGAGTTATTTTAATGATTTTAACTATTTGTAAATTTACTGATTTTAATTGTTATTACGGTCTTACTCGATTTGGTTTTAAGATTCTCTGCTATATTGCTGCAGTCTTTATTATGTTTTATGACTGTAAGCTGCCTTGAGCATTATCTAGTACAGTAGTGGAAAAACTGGGCACAGACGTAGCAAGCAGTAACTAAATAAATAAATAAATGATAAATACCAAGATTTTAAGCCACTTTGATCCCGGTTTAAGATCTTAAAGAGACAGCAAATCAACAATTTACCATTTTGGAAGTAACAAAACACAATAGATTACTCTAAGCAGGACTTAAGTAACAAAACTCATTCACAAATGAAGGAGGTAAGGAAAAGAATTTGTGAAATTAATTGTATTTCTATATTAATGAAATATGTAAACAAAGTCCAGACTCTTCATGTTGGGATGGGGACAATAAAATCCCTCATTTATACTACAATAATGTAAAGTGAAAGAAAAAATGATGTGTTATCTTTTTGCTTTGTCTGTTGTTAATGAAGAGACTAAGAGACAACACACGGCTAAAACTGCCATGACGGGCATTTCAGTGCTGCTGTCCTTATATCTCATGGCCATTTTGGTGATTTCAAAGTTTGCCTCCGAGGTATGTTCAAAATCTCTCTCTCTTTCTGCTATTGCATATGTTGCCATCAGGTTTAAGATGCTTTAACCAAGGGAAAGTAAAGAGCAGGCTGAGGTTGCAAACATGCCCACAAGTTACATTGTCCATTCGTTAATTGTCCATTTATTGTGTCAGATGTCTGTGTAGCACACCCACACAATTATTTACAGAGAGGAAAACTCAGAGAGTACTGGAGGATCAGTCTGAGCCAAACTAATTTACAATTAGACATCCTTTTAAACTCAGTGCTGAAATCCTAAAAATAGACCCATGCCAATTTGTGTTTTAGAACTACAACCCTCATCATTCCCCAGGTACTATTGACCATGCTGCCTAGTGATTCTGGGAGTTGTAGTCCCAAAACACAAATCTGCACACTTCTACTAAGAAAACTGGCTGAGAGGATGATTGGTCCACCTTCTCATTTGGAGAAATGTCCTGTGTTCTGCTCAGGGCTGCCCCTTAAAAGGGTCTGCCAACTGCAGCTGGCCCAAACTGCTGGCTTTTGACATTTTTGATTTCACCTGGCAATTTTCCGCTTCTTGCAGTGTCATGTCTATGTTTCGTGCTGCTTATTTGATGCGTGATGTATATATTCCTCCTTTAAACAACAGTGGGGTTAGGGGTGTTGGATTTCATATACAGTAGATCAAAATCCATGTATAACTTTTCTGCCCACAAAAACTACAAAGCATAAACAGTTGATTTACACACACACACAGGCGGCTAAAGCAAAGCAAAGGACATAAAAAGCCTCTATCAGAGGCAGAAAACAGAGACTCAATCGTTTCCCCCCCCCCAATGGAGCAGTATACTGCTGTGACCTTCCCTGACCTGCATCATCCTCCTGGCATGCCCCAGCATCTTCCCTGTCTACCATGTGGTGCTGGAGATGGGGCCAGCCATGCCATCACTATTGGACCGGGGCCCGTTGCACTGCCAACAAGAGGGACCTCAATCAGTCAGAGATCTACCTTTCTCGGGTCATTTCCTGGAGACAAACAGCAGCATAGCAGGATCTACCTTTCTCAGGCCATTTCCTGGAGACAAACAGCAGCATAGCATTTATTGAATAATTATTTATTTATAGGGAAAAAAAATCTGAGAATAACCAAAACCATACTGCTCAAACCTGTGCAATTCAAGGGAGAAGTGTACTTCAACTGTGGTTTGTATTTGATTCCTTTATGTAATATTCTGTTGGGATAGCTTGTATTTAAATATTCTTAATACATAAATAATCCAGCACCATGTTGTTTATAAAGGGTAGGCAAAATGTAAAATGAGATGTACTGATAAATCAGCAAGGAATTCTGGACTTTGATGTTTAAAATATTGGTCTCGCCTCCCACAGGATCTCTAGCTTTTCCAAATTTTCCCTCCTTGATCAGGGTAAAAATACCTTTCATAATTCACATCTTCAGACTGGGGTTTTCTTTCATTACCGTTCTGGCCCAGAAGTGATGGAAAACAGATATGAGAAGTTATTACCATGTCCCCCAATGTTTGCAAGATTAGCTACCTTATTGACTAAAATGGATGCTCAGATTATCAATCATCTTTGTTTTCTACAGCCCAAAGTCAATAACACAGAAACAGCAGATCTGAAAGAGAAGCACAACGATTGTGTAAGTGTTTGTTGTCTGAGAGACTAATAGCAAACTCCTCCTCTGGGTCTGGACCCAACTTTTTGGAACCGTGGATGGGTTGGGAGAGCAGGGTCCATGCACGGGGGGGCAGGGCCCCCCCACGCTCAAGAGTGGGTGTGGCACGTTCGTGGATGGGCATAGTGTGCTCGCGTAGGTGAGCAGGGCATGGTCACGGATGGGCGTGGTGTGCTTGCGTGCATGCATGGATGGGTGGGTGTGGTGTGCTTGCAGATGAGTGGTGAGTGCATGCACGCAAATATGCCATGCCCACCCGCGTGTATGCATCCACGCCAGATCCACCATGCATGTGTGCGGGAGGGGGGGCGGGAGATCTGTCTCCACAGCCCAGCCCTGCGAAGCCCACAGACCGTCACGGGGCCGCAGACCAGGGGTTGGGGATCCCTGCCTTAAGGTACTCAGAATGACATGTGCAGATATACTTGTAGCAGCAAGCTCAGATATTTGAAGCTGTTCAGGCAAATTGTAGAGGGAAAAGGGGAAAACATACAAAAGCAGTCTAATAAAGTCAACATCTTTGGAAGGTCTCCATAAAAAAAGATATGAAGCTTTAATTCCCGAGCCTAAAAATTCATTACACATGAAATTGATATCTGTGGCATGTCACACATTTGGTACAATGAGCTCAGAATAGTTTGGGGCTAGGGAAGAGGCAACTCCAGGAGTGTGTGTGTGTGTGTGTTTGTGTTTGTGTTTGTGTGTGTGTGTGTACGTGTGTTTGTGTGTACCCCAAAGTACTGCATCCATAGTGGCTTCCTATTCAAGCTCTGCACAAAACTTGGTGTGTGTATGCTTTTTTGGGGGAGGCACAACTCCAGCCAACATGACTACTGGCCAGGAAGCCACTTCTAATTTGGTAAGAAAAACCTGCTCTGCAGATATTCAGGAGTGCATGCGCAGCAGTGTCTGGTGTTCAAAGGCGAATCACTAATCTCTGGAGAGTCCATTTTTGGTGGGGAGCCTGAGGAGGGGCACACGGGTTGCCAAGAGTGGCTCACAGGCCGCCTGGCTCTCACCAACCCGCCCTGCAAAAAGGCAGCAGCTGTCACCTTACTTGGCACTTCCTATGTTCCCATAGCTTCCGTTTACACCCCAGATCGCCGCACAAGCATTCAAGCTCTCTTTTAATTCTCAGGCTAAAGGAAGTAGGGAAGCCATCGGTCGAGCAATTGCGAAAGAAATCCGCAAAAAGAAGCACAACAGAGGTCGATGGCCTGTAAGTAGTTTACATGGGCAATTGTAGCATGTTAGCAAGCATGGAAATGAATGAACAGGGATTGTTCCAATCTATTTGTTCTTGAGATGGGTGGGTGGGTTTGCTATTTACTGTACCTCAGCTGACTGAAGCTTGTTTAGTTGTGTTGCGCACGGGGGGGGGGGCACTGTTCCACAATGTGGAGTGACTTCATTGAGATTAGGTGGGCTTCCAGGGTTGGGTATCTGAATCATCAACTGATCTGCTAACGCAATCATTTTCCTAGTTATTTTCCTGATTTTTAAGGTCATCATTTAAAAATAATAGCTTCTAATGCACTTCACTGTTTTCACACTTTTACTTACTGGTTTTATTATATTAATTTTTATAATATAAATCACCTTGAGTTTTTTAAAATGAAAAGTAGTACAATGCTGTAAGTAAGCAAACAAACAAATAAATAAGGCTGTCATGAGACTGCATTATGTCATGTCCTCCTACTGACGTGTTATTACCACTGTTCTAAGTTTAGCAGTGAAAACTAATGAGATGCTTATTCTGCAACTTGGTACCCATCATAGTTGGGGGCATCACAGTTACAAAAGTTGCATAATTCTTTTCTCACTGTATGAATAAGAAGGCATAATGAAAAGCAATAAAGAGAAGGCGGACTTTAGAAAAAACGGGTCTTGCATGTAAATATTAAAAGGAATGTTTTTTAGATAACTTTTTGACCTTGCATATTGGTGCAGGTGTGGTAACAAAGATGCCATCAATGAGTAGGTTCTAGAAAAACTGTAAGGAAGGCTGAAAATTCAGTAATTTTCCTCCAACTGTATATTGATAATGCTACATGTCGTGTTCATAAAATAACATCAGTCAGACAAACATGATGTTCTGTCCCATCTGATATGGCTTACCAGAACTATTCTACCTCAAGAGAATTTTGGACATAGTTTGCCTACTCCCAAACTGTTAAAGATGCTATTTCTTTTTTTCTGCAGAGCCGTTTGACTAACATCTTCAAAAGAGGTGAACCATCATAGTTACTGCTCCAGAGTTTTAGCAAGACTGAAGCTGTGGTTCAGACCCTGATTATTGGGGGGAGGGGGGAATCTGCATAAAATGTCAGAAACATCTCTGAGAAATGTTCACACCAGTTTTCCAGTGGCTCTAAGGCATTCTCTTTTTTGCTTGTCATTTATTTTTATCCTTTCTTTATATTGCTTTTGCCCCACTAATCTTTTCGTTTACTTTCTGCTCACAGTTAGAACAACTTGTACTGTACCTCTTTAAAGGACAGGGTGCCTCACACTGACACAAACAACATACAGTGGGATCTTGACTTGAGAACTTAATCCGTATTGGAAGGCAGTTCTCAAGTCAAAATGTTCTCAAGTCAAATCTGCATTTCTCATAGGAATGCATTGAAAACCATTTGATCCGTATCTGCTCTTTTCTGTCCATAGAAACTAATGGGAAGCTGCTATTCCGCCTTCGACCACTAGAGGGGGATATTTTGTTTCTTTTTTTCTTAGGTCAAGAAAGGTTCAGGGAAGGCAGGGAAAATACAGTCCAGGCAGTACCAGGCAGTCCAAAGACTGTCTCCCAATCCACTCTCTAAACGCTGGGAGGAGTGAGGAAGCAGACAGGCGCCCTTTTCACTGGCCAACAGTGAACTGAAAGTTCACTTTTTGCACTTTCCCTGCCTCCCACGTGGGTTTTTTCAGTTCTTAACTCAAATCTAAGTATGCAAGTCAAGTCAATATTTTCCTATGAGAGCGGTTCTTAAGTCAAAATGTTCTTAACTCAAGCCGTTCTTAAGTCAAGACCCTACTGTATCTAACACTCTGATCTTCTTATAGTAAGCACTGGTGTTTGGACAACAAGGAAATTGTAAAATACACAACTATAATCTGTATTTAATTCTGGTCACTTATCATGGCTAGAAGCTGCACTATGTGTTCTTGTGTGGTTGCTAAAAAGGATCCTGGAATTACAGAGACAAAGGAATGCAGGAGAGAGGGAAAAAGAGCAAAATATTAGAAATCCCAAAGAGTTATACAGGCAAAACCCCCAAAGAAACTGGGCTGTACAACTGGAATGTTAAGACACAGAAAGTGGAACAAAATGTTTGCAATCAAGCCTGGTTGAAGATGTGTCTCTACAGATACAACTGTGAATGCTCAACAGTGGTGTTCCAACAGAGCATCAAAACATCCTCTGTAACCACAGCATTGTTTAGAACTTAAACGGGTTGTTAATTCTTAATTCAGCATAAGTTGGAAGTAATTTGATGGCATATAACAAAAGCAGTCATTAGATGAATTGTTTAAGCCTATGTCTACAACTACAGTACAGCAGTCTTCTAACAAATAATTTCACTGGAATAACAACCATAGAGATAGAGTGAATCTTGCACAACAAGGAGGTCTAGATCTACAGCATCACTGCAGAAAGCCTTGCCCAGGCAGCTCTGGCACCAGTAAATGGCATCCTTGGGCACCTGCCAGGAAGTTGGCATCCTAATGGGACCACCTTGGAAATCCTTGGATCTGGTCCCAGAACTGACATTTTAATTGGCCACAGTTAATCTGGAACAATGCTATGTTGAGGGTAATGGGAGTAACTTAAACAGTAACTTTCAGGGCCACCTACCTGGCTTGCTGCCACATAAGCTACAAAAGTGGTTCTAAGCCCTTTGTCCCACAAATCCCTTTGTCTGAGAACCTGAGTCCCACCATGATGCAAAAAGTCACTTTTGCCAAGAGCATCAATATATTTGCAAGCATTCTGTTGTTATGGTTGCTTATGGTAAATGGTAAATTGATGAGCAGGGTGGATGGGAGATTAGTCTCGCATGCTACTGGTGGTATGCCAGAAAGCCACCAATGGATGGTGTGCAGTAGAAGGGGGTCAGTAAGAGATGGCACACCACACCTGTGGGAAGATACGGAGATCAGATCTACTCCTGGTCCAATTTCAGAACAAGGACTCAAAGATTTCACAGAGCAAGTAGGATCATTTGGGAGCAGGTTTTCTTTACACTTGAGAACCCGCAATCCCCCCATTTCCCCATAGGCAACTGCTGTTGCTTACCATTTTCCACGTAAGGATGAAAGGGCAGAACCAAGGCCAAGATGACCCGACCTCTTGTGGGGTCCAGGACACTTCTAATATCTTTTAATACAGTCAATGGCTGATCACAGCGATCAAGGAGATTCAAGCAGCTGATGACATCATACTGGAACCCCATGTTCTGCCATTCATTGATGCCAAGCACTCTGCATGTGGGAAGACAAACAAAGGTACAGGTTTATAACCAGGGAACAGCAGATCCTTCGCTCTGCATTCTGCCTACTACAGGGCAAGGCAGGTGGGGCAAGCCAAAAGGGTTAACCTCTGTTAAATCTAAGTCTCTGCACATATCAAAAGCGGTAAAGGAAATGTGGGTTTCTCATTTTATAAAACTTTCATATACAGTGGTGCCTCGCATAGCGATGATAATCGGTGCAGGAAAAATCGCTGCAAAGCGATTTCGTCGCTATGCGATTTTAAAAAGCCCATAGGAATGCATGGAAACCCATAGGAATGCATTGAAACCTCTTCAATGCGTTCCTATGGGCTTAAAACTCACCTTAAAGCGAAAATCCTCCATACGGCTGCCATTTTTGCTGCACGGTAAGCGAGGAATCGGCGCGAAAACACAGCGGGTGGCCATTTTGTTTACCTGGCGGCCATTTTGGAACCGCCGATCAGCTCTTAAAAAATCATCACTTTGCGATGATCGGTAAGCGAAACAGGGTACCAACCATCGCAAAGCGATTGTTCCCCATAGGGAACATCGCAATGCGATCGCAAAAGCGATTGCAAAAAGTTAATTGCTATGCGATTTCATCGTTAAACAGGGTGCCCGTTAAGCGAGACACCACTGTATCTTGTGAGAAGTCTAGAAATCTGAAAGGCACAAATGCACTGGAAAAAAATCTACATTATGAGACAAGGGCTTCTATTTACAGTAGAACCCCTGTATCTGCGGGGGGGGGTCGGTTTTAAGCTCCCCTGCAGATGCTGAAAAGCATGGATTACAGCAAATGCTATTTTAACAGCAAAAGCTTTACAGAGCATGGTCTCTGGCTCTGCCTAGTGGCCAAAGGGCTTCTATTTACAGTAGAACCCCTGTATCTGCGGGGGGGGGGTTGTCGGTTTCAAGCTCCCCTGTAGATGCTGAAAAGCACGGATTATAGCAAATGCTATTTTAGCAGCAAAAGCTTTACAGAGCATCGTCTCTGGCTCTGCCTAGTGGCCAGTTCTGGTAATGACATGGTGGAAGTATATTTCTTGAGCAAATACTGTACAGTACTGTACTATACATAGCATGGTCTCTGGGTACCTCTAGTGGCCAGTTCTGTTAACTTCACCTTTAGAAATAAATATTTCTAGGATTTGTATTTTAATGTTTTACATATTTTCAGACTGTGCATAACTGAATCAGCAGATACTGATCTCACAGATAAAGGGGTCCTACTGTAATTTATCTAATGTAGGTGATGGATGTGCCATATCTGGACTACACTGGGTTAAGTAGAACACACACAGACACACCATTCCCTCATAGGAAAATGAATCTGTCATTACACCAGAGATTATAGCTAACACAGAAGTAACAGAAATATCCTCCTTCCCTAGCTTGCTTGCCTTTCCAGTGGGGAGGACAAACTGGGAGAGAAGTAATGCAGCAGGTTAGTGAAGCCTGATTCTTAGTCCATGCCATGAAGGGTGCCTTCGGGAGCTAAAGTAACACCTACGGTATTAGTATTGTTCACCCTACAAAGGACTGCTGGAATCCAGCTCCCATTTTTCACTGATAACAACTATGCAGCTATATGAAAAGCAGAAGCTTACATCCAAAGAGTGGAGGGCAGAATAAGGCTTCTAATTGGCACAGCAAGTTGTGATTTTTGATAACACTTTTTAAAGTGTTATCAAAAACATTTACCTGAATAGAATAAGAATTTATCACAGTTAATCTGCATTTTCACACCATAGGTTCTAAGAGCTTTAATACAAATTCTGCTCCCTTATCCCTAATCTTTCATGATGTAAGCAACAGTATAAGGAAGAATTTGATCTTGTCCATGTACGCCCACTTTATTCTTTACAAGTTTGGTGCCTCTGGAAATCAACCATAGAATTTTTGCCATAATTTGCACTGACAAGTGGGGGGACATAAATAATTAAGTGTTAATATTGATGTAACCCCAATTCTACTTAGCACAATACCTGTATTTCTTTTTCTGAAGCTGCCATATCATAGTTTCAGATAACTCTGTGACGTAAGTTTCTTCAAAATGAGGACTCATGACTTTCGTCACTTCTCCATCTCCAGCTCCCAAATCAAGAAGCCTGCGGGATTTCCAGTCTGGATTTATTTTGAGCAGTCTCTGAAATTGTTCCGGTGAAAACACAAACATCGAACCTCTTCCCAGCAACCTGAAATTTCAAAGAGGGAGAGAGATGTTTCTTCTTCTTTGTTTTTTTGGGGGGGGGGATTGAGAAAATGGAGTTAGCAATTTTTGCCATTTGGGAGAGGTACACACACAGTGATGAGTCAAACCAGAAAGATGTAGAATAATGGGAACCAAAAGATAGGCTGAAAGTAACATGGATCGAACAGTGGGAGAGAAGATTAATATTTTAAAACTGTATAATCTAGGAGCAAAAGGCCATAGTATCTACCTGAGGCTCCCTGTGCAATGGGAAAAAACGGAATAGCAAATGACGCATTTGTGGAAAAAACCTGCAGCAGGGGATGGTCAGGGTCTCTGTGGATCACTGCCAGTGGCATCTCAGGCTGCTCTGCTTTGAAGACTATAGTGTAAGATTACAGCAGCAGAGACAGAGGTTCAGACGGATGAAAAGATATGCAGGAAATACAGGAGGAAAGAAAATAATTGGTTAGCAAGAGAGACGAGAGGGAAGCAATGCATTAGACAGGCTGACTACAGGTAGAGAAACCAAACTGCAGTCTACAAAGCGACGGGTACCCAGGCGTTCCCAGCTGCAGAGAGCAGAATCATGATCAAGGGAGAGGCCAAAGGACGGTGAGGAAATAGGTAGCGAAGACAATGAGACCAGATGAAAAACTGAGAACGCAGGACGTAACAGGCATTAAAAGGAAAGCATTTTGTTCCAAATACAGCTCGCTTTACAGATCAGCCTCCTGGTGGTACCTATGAGTGTCAATCAGATAAATTGGCTTGAGGGTATTATCCCTAAAGGCACCAGGAGAAAGTGTTCAAAGCCAGAGAAAGCCTTTTCAGCAGAAGAAAAACGGCAAGGAAGACACGAGGGGGGAAGCATTCCTCTGGCAAGAGAGGAAATATCTAGCTGAGAAAAATGATTGGCTCCCAATACAATTTCTCTCCCCACCCTCTGAAGCCACAGTAAGCCAGATCAAACTGAGCGACAGGGCAACGTGGCACGGAGAGCTGGAAAAAGGGTAATATAACATTCATTCTGCTAAAGAGGATGTGCAGCTGGGCATTCAACAAAGCAACGTGGGAAGCCTCTCTGTTTAAAAGAGCTCAATGCCAAAGGAAAGGGAGATCGGCTGCGTCCCAGCATCCCCAGAGGCAACTTCAAGGCTAGCCCAAGACATTTGCTGTTTGAGGTGAAGAACAAGTTCGGGGGCTGGCTTCGTCCAGGGACGAAAGCCTCTTAGATCTGGGTATATTCTCTCCAATGTGAAAGGACAGTCTCCTCGCCCACTGATAAAAGCAGACGGCTACCTTAGGGATACAGAGCAGGGTATCCTGCATCACACGGTTCCCTCCTCTATCCTTGAGCCTCAGATGCCTGAAGGGACTAACTCACCTTGATTAATGGCTCGATCAGCCCTGGATAACCTTGCAGATCTTCTGCTGTATGTATGCAATTCCTTTCTAATAGGTGAAGAAGGAAGTGTATCCGATCCAGATTTAGGCACGGGGCAAAGTGAGAGCCTGGGCAAGGTACCAGATGCAGATTTCCTTACCCCTTGTATCAAATCTACCTGTATCCAAGCCATAGAGGTGTGCAGGTCTGCGTTTTTGGACTACAGTGTCCAGAACTTCCCAGTGCTGTCTGGGGAATGCGGGGTGTTCTAATCCAAAAACCCAAATCCGCCCATGTATGTAGATGACCTACTAAAACGTCCTCCCTTTGTCCCAGTGGATAATGTAGAAAGATGGTTAAATGCATGCAGGACGATGTTTTCTCCTAAGAGGGTTTTATCCTATGGGCTGTGCTGACCGTGTCTGCCCCTTGCGAAGTGGCCAATAATGCCAAACCCTGAGAGTTGTCCGGGTAAAAAGGAAGTCTGACCATCCACCAGACCTGATCCCTGATGATATTTTGCTGCTTGAGGGTAAGGACAGGAGGTCACCCTTCCTTTCCACATAGAGAAGTGATACGGACTGAACAATTTTGAACAATGGTTTCTATCCCACCTTCTCCCACAGTTGGGATTTAGGCAGTTTTCCGTAAAAAGACTGACTAAAAAAGGGACAGATAAAAATTTAACATGACCAACTTAAAGGCAATTTTAAAGGGACATGAAAAAAAGTACAACAGCCATCCCTTAAGGGTCAACGCTCAGCATCCAGCTAATTGCCAAAGGTCCACTTGAATAAAAAGGGCTTTGCTTGCTAACAGCACTAGCCTTCCTTGGAAGGACGTTCCATGGCCGTTCCTTCTTGGTTCAGCACCGGCAAGGGGACTGGGCCCTCAGCTGCTCTAGTGGGCAGCTGGCCTGTTAAGAGGGCGTAGAATCGGCTGCACTGCACATACAGGCCAGTCCTCCAAGAGAGGAAAATGGCTAAGCGAGTGAGGGGGAATGTAGATGGGCTGCCACAGCTGTGCCCCAGCATCTGCCAGGTCAAGGCGTTGCCTAGCATTGATAAATGGGAGCGCTAGCCCTGTCTTCTGATGCCCTTCAGTTCTTCCCGCCAGGAAACATCCACTGCACAGAAAACTGCTGCATGTCTAACGATTTGCATCAGTCTGTGTGGTGCAACAGGCATTGCTCTACAGCAGGGGAAGGACAGATGTCAAGGTGTAGCTATTACCAAAAAAGGGTTGCGAAACTCTTGCTGGCTTTCTGCAGATCAGCCAGAGATGCAAGTAGATGCAAGTCTATCTTGTGCTCACCCTTGCCTTAAGAGGTCCCGGATGTGCTCTTTCATTTTGTGCAATCAGTAATAATGGTGTTTGTGTCAAATCATACAAGGCTGATGTTTGTATTCTAAGCTTACCAATGGTCACTGCTAAATGATTTAATCAGTAACTGTACGGCAGTCCTAATAATGTAAGCATCTGGGACTCTGACTGGCAAGAACCTCAGGGATTTTGATATATGCTTAATGTCAAGTGCACGTTAATAAGAACTCACAACAGATGCTGCCAGTTCCAGATGTATTGGCTGTGCTAGCTGGGGAGAGGCTGACAGGAGAGGTAGCCCAACACAGCTAGAGGGCATTACACTAGCAGTGGCTGAAACTCCAAAGCAATCAATCCCTTTGGATTAGACACAGACTGTTTTCATACATCACATCAAACCATGCTATGGACTGTTGAAACTTGGGTTGTTGTAATGTGCAAACCTAGCTTTGCAAACAATCCATGGCTTATCTGAGACTGTGGTTTGTTGTTGACCTATGAACTCTAGTTTGTTCAATGTCCAAATCTGCAACGTTGGCCTTGTTTCTCATGTCGCTTGTGAGACTACAAGTTTAGTACAAAAGCAACCACCTATCACTACTACTTCTCCCTATTAACATGTACTCAGAAACCAGAAATGGGGACTGTTTTTTGGATTACAGTGCACCGAATCGCAGAGCGAGGATGACCAACAGTCATGCAGGTTGTGGGATATTAGGAGATCTATTCTGGAAAAACCAAATGTTTCCCATCTCTGACACAGACATACTATTTAGGTACGCAGAGGTCCCATACAGCAGAGGAGATCAACCGTGTCCCTCTGGATAGTTTTGGCCCACAACTCCATCCACCAGCATAGCCCATAGTGATGGATTACAGGAACAGCGCTCCAAAAGTATGGAGGGTTACAGTCATCCATTTCTACCATAGCAACATCATAACAAACTCAGTTCATTCAGTTTGGTTTGATTAATCAGATTATTTTTCCAAGCATTTTGCACAGTTCTATATATGTATGAAATTATAACATAAAACAATGATTTTTTAAAAACCACGCTCAGCATTGTTTACTTACCCATTGATAGATGTCCTAGACATAAACAGACTGAAAACAGATGACACGAAGGAGTGATAAAGTTGAATGAACAGCCAGCCAGATTTCTCAATGCTGTTATTTAAGAAGATCTGTGTTCCTTGGTCAAGGTAACTCTGGACGAAGATAGGCTGAAGAGATTCACAGAGCTGTTCTCTATTGCACACGTACCACTATAAGCAAGGGGATGGGGGGAGAAAATACAAGAACTATTATTACCAGATGAGAACTGTTACTTTTGTACAATTAAATCAGGCTTAACCAGTCGCTACAGTGGGGAGATGCCATAAAGCACATGGCTTTCATACAAAACACCCCAGGTTTGATGCCTGTCATTGTCAGTGAAATAAAAGGGTGAGAGAACAGGCAATGAGGAAGACGCTCTTGTCCTGAGATGTTGCAGACCTGTGGCCACTCAAGAGCAGACAGTACTGGGCAGGTGGACTAGTTGTTTGGCCAGGTGTAAGAAGCTGCCTCCATTTCTTTGTTGATGCTGCAGCCTTATGAAATGTCCAAGAGAAAAGGTGTGCAATTCCTGGCGTTTTGTATACAACTTTCATCATAAAATAGCTTGCAAAGCTCAAAATAAAGTATGAGTCCATTTTAGACATCTCCAACTTTCCTAGGACTTTGATGAAGGATAGTTGCTTTACTTCATGTTCACAAACATAAATGCTATATTACAAAACACATACTATATAATGTTTATCCTGCTTTTCTCTTAATTTTCTGGCTAATAATAGCTTGAGACAAGTTTTGAAACTGATAATATGGAAAAATGGCCAGAATCCTGTTACTTCTGCTAGCCTAAGTCCAATGGTGCAAATCTCAGCAGCAAATTGCTGCCAGATGAAAAAAACAAACTTGAGACTTGTGTGCAAGAAGGCCTGCTTTTTAAACTAATAGCAATTTGCTGCTGAGATTTACATTTTGCACATATCTTAGTGGGTGTAATAGGACTCAGACTAATAAATACCAAAAAATGTTCACTCGGTGCCAGCATATATGTAAACATTCACACACACATACACACACACCCAGCAGCAAGAAAGTTAGCTTAATTAACTATAACATTAGCGAGAAAAGGCTGGGGAAAGGTAAGATAGACAATCTGTCATCTGCCCATTGATATTCAAGCAGCAAGAAGGTTAGCCTAATTAACTATAACATTAGTGAGAAAAGGCTGGGGAAAGGTAAGATAACAGACAATCTGTCATCTGCCCATTGATATTCTCCAGGATGCATCAGATCTGAATTGATTTCAGACCACTAGCGATTCCTACAGGCCTAACTTCCTTCCTGTAAAGTTCAAGATGACAAACACCACTGGATTCAGGATAAGTTGATTTACCTGTCTCTTAATGAGGGTGTTCATTTGTCTCCACCCCTGTTGCAGCAACATACAACAAGAACAAAACAAAACAAAAACACCTGTCGGGACATCCTTAACACCATTAGGGGTGGAGGCAAATGCACACTGTCATTAAGAGGCAGCTTACTTCATCAGCGGTTGTGCCCATTTGCCACTGACAAACTGGGCTTTAATAAGTGGTTTCTAGTATACCACGAACAAAACAAAGCAAGAGAAGGTGAAAGCAAACCTCCACCCCAACCCCACAAAGAGATTTATTTCAAGCATGTGTCCAAAGAAGAGGATTTTAATCCATGTTTACACGCAAATAGATTTGTTGGTCGTAAATACAGCCACAATATTTTTGGCTTTGATTTCTTGCTGAAACAGGCTGATTTTAATCCATGTTTACACTCAAATAGATTTGTTGGTCGTAAATAGAGCCACAATATATTTGGCTTTGATTTCTTGCTGAAACAGGCTAAAAGACGGCCTCTCTGAAAACCAGAGCACCAGTCACAGGCCTTGCCTTCCTTATGGCAGAGGCATGGCTTCAGTTCCTCCGTTTCCAGCATCAATGGCCGTACTTCACCAGCATGCATCCTCTATTTGCCTGGAAATGTATTACAGTAATCTCTTACATTCTGCTCTTTTAGTTATGTTCCACAAAGCTTGCAATTCTTCAGTTTTCCAATTTAAAAGTTGCCAACTGCAATTGGTTTGCATTATGCAGGATGCAGCAAAAAAACCCTCCTGGATTTCGCTTCGCTATTGCCCTGGTGCTAGTGAATTGGGACGGGTCATAGTGGGGTCTTTCAGTAGCATCCGCCTTTCTGTTTTCAGTCAGCACCATGGCGTGGATGGGGATGCACCGTGCATTCATCATTGAAGCATTTATCAAAAAACCAAATCTGTGATAGTGACGCAGAAAGCTTTTCATATCCACTTCACACTCAGTTGAAATGCTGCTGTTCTGGACCAAAAAACCCATTTTGCTTTGGGCTGAAAATTTCAGGGCCACAGGTTCAGTGTTGAAACCATGGTGCTGATTGAAAATGGAAAGGTGGATCCTTCTGAGAGACCTCACTATGACCCGTCCCACTTCACTAGTGCTGGAACAAGAGCTAAGCAAAATCTGGGAGGTTCATTACAAAAAGCAGCATATTATCCTGTCAACATGTAAACTGTGTATTTTAATCTGTCTCACATTTTAATTATACCATTGCTAGTCACTTTGACTACCATTCTGTGTTAGAAAAGTGAGGTATAAACAGAATAAATAAATAATTCCAATTCGAGTCACACAAATTCCAGCAGCAACAGTGATTACTTTAATAAAGTTATGAATAAAGTAACAAGTATGATACGACCCAAGTTAAGCCCTTTCAGGCCTGCTGTGGTTTTATGGGAGAGAGTTGAACTAAGTATAGATACATGGTATAAATAGTATTGAAATTGGGATTTCACCTCTACTATTTGTTACAAACTCTATTTTAATTACTTTATGCAAACTGTCCTGATAAGTGGATTGAAGGATGCCTATATGTACAGTGGACCCTTGACTTACAGACGGCTTGACTTACAGACTTTTTGAGTCACAGACTTCTCTGGCCACAAAATTTAGGTTTGACTTGCAGCCTGAGAATTGACTTACAGACCAGAAAAAAACCAAAATGGAACAAAAACGGCCTGTTACGGGATTAATCGGTTTTCAATGCACTGTAGGTCAATGGAGACTTGACCTACAGACTTTTTGACTTGAGAACCGCCTTCCAATACGGATTAAGTTCTCAAGTCAAGACCCCACTGTAATCTAATTTGAAAGCAGAATCATATGCTGCAGTTTTAAAAGAGGTAGCCATGGTGTTTCCCCCCTCCAGCAATTAAGAAGACCAACAATTTTATTTCAGTGTGATGTGGATGAAGAAATGAACCACAATCCAAACAGCTCACAATGAAGTTAAACTATAAGATTTAAAGGCTCCACAACACTTTTTACTGTTACCATATCTTGTTGCTACTGTTTCATGTTACTGTCGTTACAAGCTATTTGTAACTGTAACCCACTCTTGAAAACATGTTTAAAGAGTGGCACAGAAATACTGTACTGTATGTTTAAAGTAAATACACATGTTAAAAAGATTTTTTTTCTAACCGCAACACTAGAAATACTGTATGTTTAAAGTAAATACACATATTAAAAAGATTTTTTTTCTAACCGCAACACAAAATGTGGATCACATTTACACATATATTCACACATAACATTCTCAGTTTAACATTAGCTAGTTTAATGGCTTAATGTTTCACCAACACCAGTATGACAGAATTGAATAAGAGCAAAATATAGGCCATGGTTATACTAAAGATACTAAGGAGAATTCCAAGTTGAGAAACTGAATTATGACATCACTACAAATCTATACTTCCTCCTTCAAGATTCCTTCCTTTTGTGTCCAAGTTTCATGCTGAACATTTGTTTATGCAATAGGTGAGGTATTATGTCTTCATAGTGACATGGTGGCGCTGAGGGTTAAACCGCAGAAGCCTCTGTGCTGCAGGGTCAGAAGACCTGCAGTCGTAAGATCGAATCCACATGACAGAGTGAGCTCCCATCGCTTGTCCCAGCTCCTGCCAACCTAGCAGTTCAAAAGCATGTAAAAATGCAAGTCGATAAATAGGGACCACCTCGGTGGGAAGGTATTGGCATTCCGTGTCTAGTCGCACTGGCCACGTGACCACGGAAACGGTCTTCAGACAAATACTGGCTCTGCGGCTTGGAAACGGGGATGAGCACCGTGCCCTAGAGTCAGACACAACTGGACTAAATGTCAAGGGGAACTTTTACCTCTGTCTTCATACAATATACTTGATTGTTATTTTAAGCTCTATAAATAGTGAGGCTTAAAACACCTCATTTCAATACCCTGCCGTCTGACAGCAAGAGTACAATAGGTTTAAAGAGCGTACAGAAATACGGCAATAATTTCAATATGCAGGATAAGCAATCTTTCATCTCAGCTGTGCAGGTGTGCAACACTCTATTGGTGCCACGCACCCACAGTTATTGTTGCTGCTCATTTGGTTCTGGTTGCAGTCGGAACTTTGTGCATGCGGGCTGGTGGAAAATGAGAGGGAACACTGACCATAAGCTTCTTGTTGTTATATGCTCTCAAGTTGCCTCTGACTTACGGAAGCCCTATGAATCAGCAATTGCCAAAATGTCTTGTCCTCAACAGCCTTGCTCAGTTCTTTGAAACCCAAGCCCGTGGCTTTCTTTAGGGACTCAGTCCATTCCTTTTTTTAAAAAGTCTTTCTCTTTTCTACTGCTTTCCACCTTTCCCAACATTATTTTCTGCTTTCTCACGATGTGCTCAAAGTAAGACAGCTTCTGTTTCATCATTTCTGCCTCCAGAGGTAGTTCAGACTTGATTTGATCTTGTTTCGCTTTCCGGCAGTCCATGACATCTGCAAAGCTCTCCCTAGCACCACATTTCAAACAAATCAGTTTTTTTTTTCTTTCAGGTTCTTAACTGTCCAGCTTTCACACCTACAGTATATATGGTGAATGGAAATACAAGAGTGTGGATGATGTTGGTCTTGGTCTCTGATGATGCTTGATGATCTTTTCTAGCCCCTTCACTGCTGCCCTTCCTAGTCTACGTCTTCTGATTTCTTGGCTGCAGCCTCCATTAGATTTGATGATCGAACCATGGTATACAAAATTTCTGTTTCAATATCTTCATTGTCAATGTTCATGTTATGTAGTTCTTCTACAATAAGGATTTTTGTCTTTTTCATGTTCTACTACAATCCTGCGTC